TCATCTTCATCTTCATCTTCATCTTCATCTTCATCTTCATCTTCATCATCTTCATCTTTATCTTCATCTTCACCTTCATCTTCATCTTCGTCTTCATCCCCATCTTCATCTTCATCATTATCTTTATCCTTGCCTTTTTATTTATCTTTAACTTTGTCCTGTTCTTCATCTTTATCATTGGCTTGATCCTTCAATACAGGTTGTGAGTGTCTGTGGTTTCTTGTATCTTGCTCTCTGTATTTTCATTACCCACTCCACAGTGGCGTTAAAAGTTCGATGCAGCCACCCCTATCTATTCACGCATACGCATACGCAAAAATTAAGTTTTATTTTCTGAGCAAAAAATAAAACTCAAGAAATAACGATTATTTTCCGGGCAAAAAATAAAACTTAAGACGTAACGATTATTATCCAAACAAAAAGTGAAACTTAAAACGTAACCATTATTTTACGTGCAAAAAAAATTAAATCGTAACATTTATTTTCCGAGCAAAAAATAAAACTCAAAAAATAATCTTTGTTTATGTTTTGAGCAACAAATAAAACTCAGTTAAAAACGATTAAGAAGTGATTTTTATAATAAACTCGTAATGAAGGTGGAGTTGTATTAATTCTGCCGTTTTCGGAGATGATCTTCAACAAATTCAATTTATCTGATATAAATTATATTATTATCTAAATTTGCCAGATTGAATTTTATTTTCCCGAAAACAAACGGGGGAGCCGCCTTAGTTGAAAAAATGAAACTTTATAATAAAAATAAAACTCCCACAAACATTAAAATACGTCACTTTCTCTCTTGTTACTATGGTTCTCATTTTTTTCGAACCAATTTCTAGTGTACTTCGAATATACTACGAACGTTGGAAAACTAGGCTTGGTAATGAGTTCGTTCTCAGTTCGATATTCATATTGGACATCGAAGGTGATTTTCGAACGTTTACCACAATGTTTATTGGGCTGTGTAATATACATATACATGTACATATGGGCATTTCCCGAAAAAAGGTAAACCGAAGATGCAAGTAAATGAATTCAAACGGCTTTATAACCAGGGACGTGAACCGGATAAAAAATTTTGTCGGTTCGGTTCAGCGGTTCTAACCGTTTTGGCACTTTTGGATTGGTTCGTAAAAGCGGTTTTTTT